AGTGTGTGTATAAATAAATATATCTGTATGTGTCCTATTTTATTGTGTATATAAATTATATTTACGTATATTTCTGTTTGTCTGAATGTGTTTATCCATGTATGTTAGGGCTCATGTATATTGGTGTGTGCAGGTATCTGGATGTATGTTTATGTATGTGCGTTTATATATGTATTTGGTTGAATGTTGTATTTATATGTATGTACAATGTATATATTGGTTTACGTATTTTATAGGTATATTTATGTATATATATATATATATATATATATATATATATATATATGTTTGGTGGATGTATATTTTGTTGACCTTTCTTATATATTCACTGTTTGTGTGTATGTGTTGTCCAACTTTGGTATGTAACACCTGGCGTCTTGTGTGTATATATGTTCATATGTGTTGTGGTGTATATATGTTTAAATGATGTATGTGTAAATATGAACATAGATATGTATATGTTCGTATATGTTTATGTTTAGATTTTATATATATGTATTTCTGTGTGTGTGTGTATAATATATATGTATATATATTATTATATGTGTGTTTTTTGTCTGATCAACATGTATGAATGACAGTACACTTATTTCTGTTGGTTTTCTTTATCCTATTTATATATATATATATATATATATAATAAATATTATTATCAACTTATATGATTAAAATATATTTTTTATTGATATTTGTGGTTTTGGAATTTTCGTTTTAATATATTAAATAATATTATTTTTAACCATTTTTATCTTTGTATATTTGCTCACTTAAGTTATATTTTAATGTGGCTAGCATTTATTTAATGATACTTTCAGTCTTAAATATTTATTGGTTGTGGTATCTGATTGTCAAGGTCAATGTCTGTGGATGTGTGTACATGTATTTATCAGTGTCTATGTGTATGGAGAGTGCATTCACTTTTAATTGTGTGTGTGTGTGTGTGTGTGTGTGTAGATGTTGGTTTCCCCCTTTCCTTTTTTCATAAAGGGCTGTGGAGATGTTCCTGTCTCGTCGCTTTTTTTTGTGTATATATATATATATATAAATATGTCTGGGTGCTTATGTATTATAATCTGATTGTGTTGTTGTTGTTTTGCGTGTGAGTTTAAGACCCCATTCATACACTTGGGATTAAAATATATATACATGTATTGTCAAATGACCGGATATTGTAGCGTCTGGTTGAACGTAATTTCAACGAAAAAATAAATTGAATAACATATGTATTTTTTCTTTTCTCAATAATTTTATAGTTTTTAAACTTAATAGTGATTAAATTTGGATTTTAAAATTGGCAGTTTTTAATTTTAATATCAAATTTTATCATATAATTTAATAATTATTGGTTAGAATAAATGCTTTTTAATATTACCCGTATTTTAAAGATCTGAATAGCTATTATAACATGATTTTGTTGTCAAGCTTTTGAAACTTCCTATACTGGGATTTTGATTGGTCATTCTAGCTTTTGTAACAATGTTTTCCCCTAGTGAATGATCATTAATTAATTTGAAACTTTTAAAACCATTTATTTTATCTTCAACATCATCACTTGATAAGACACCGAAGGTGTTGAAACAAAATGGCTATTTTTGTAGTGATTTTATAACATATTTATGTTATAAATTATTTTTTTTTATAAATAATAATTATATATATATATATATATATATATATATATATATACACACACACACACACACAGAGTGTTGGAGATACAATCTCCCAAAGGACATAAGAATTCATAAACAATCTCCAACACTAACAATTAACTAACAACCAAGCAACATTAAATTATTATATTGGCAACACAGGTACTACATTGTAGGTTGTTTTGTTATTTGTCAATTAGTGCAATTCATGCACATACAGGATGTGATGGGTAAATTGTAACCATTTTATATTATTTATTTCATGTATGTGAATTGTTGTTTTTGACTTTCTCAACTGTACAGTGGAAAAAGAGCTCCAATACAAACATTTCAGAGTGTTTGGGTATCAATCTGAGAATAGTGCAGAGGATTCAGAAATAGTTGGATGAGTGATTACAAAGATACTCCAGCTCGGAAAACTCACTCTGATTGTTCTGATTAGAAAAGAACTCCTGAATTTGTTGGTGAGATCTGGGCCATGATTGACAACAATCCCTCCAAGTCAACCAGGTCCATAGCCAGGGATACAGGAGTGTCTAAGTTTCTTAATCAGGCAGGTAGTGCATGAAGACGCATGGTATTTCTCATACAAGATGAGAAAGGTCCCAAGCAATGAAGGACAAGTGAAAAGACCATGCTATGAAGCTTTTGAACAAATGCAAACATCTCCACCAACTGAACATGCTTTGGTTTTTATCAGATGTGAAAAATTTCTGCCAGGATAAGATGGTGAACACACAGAACTACTGTTGATTTGCTGTGTCCACAAAAGATGTACCACTAGTGATGGTGACATTATGCCTTCATTCATGGAGGCCTACATCAAGTGCCTTGAAGAGATAGTGCTGCCTTGGGTCAAGAGGGTGACTGTTAGAAGACCCTATGTCTGGCAACAGGATTCTGCACCATGCCATACAAGTAGAAGAACCCAGTCATAGATGTCAGACAATTTCTGTGACTACATCACCCCATACATCTGGCCACCTAACTCCCCATGCTGCAACCCCCTTGATTATTATGTGTGGAGTGCAGTTGAGCAAGAGGCCAACAAAACTCCTTGTAGCAACAAAGATGAACTGAAGGCAAGGATTATGGCAGCATTCACCAACTTAAAGAAGGAGACTGTCCAGAAGAGTTGCAAGAGATTCTGAAGTTGTCTGGAGGCCATGGTTGAAGCCAATGGCGATTGAATAAATTTATACTTTCGTCTTTTAAAATATTCTTGTGTAAATTTGGTAAATATATCTGTTAAAATGAGATGTCAGTGTTATTTTCATTTTTATACAATTTTAATAACATTTTATCCATTGTAACCTGTATCAATGAATCTATGACAAATATGCAAAATAATATTAACCTAAAACAGATTTTAGTAGATAGCACCAAGTATATTCTATAGGACACATTACAAAGAAAGACTCCAAATTCTGGAGGATGTTGTAATAAAAAAGAAGCAGCAAACATTAAATAAGGTATCTTTCTCAAGAGGGACCATATACCGAAGTATGTTTAAAAAATAATACACATAAAATTTTTATTTTTAGCGTTTAAATGATGTCACTTTGAGTGACTTGAAATTGTCAGAATTAAAAAAAAAAAAAAACAGTGTGTAAATATAGACAGAATGATTCTTGAAAAGGTAACATTCAAAAATACTCAGGAAAAAAAATTATTATAAAATAAAAATAAATATGAACTTTGGCAAAGTTACTGATAAAACAAAACAACATGGAAATTTGAAAAATTTAATAAAAAAAATTGATGGACAGAAGTTGTCAATATGCACATATACACTGTGTGCCAAATTATTATTTTTTCTAATATTTCAAAAACCATCCAATCAATTCACACAAAATTTTCATACAATGTTGGCAACACTGATCTGCGTAATCACTGAAACAAACTGGCGCCATATTTGTTATCAGCACAGTGATTTGAGCGTGCCAAATTATTAGAAAAGTATAAGAATTTAGTGAAAAGATGGGCCGTAAAAACAGTTTAAGTGATGCTGAAAAGAAAACTATTACCTCAGAACTCTCAAAAAGTAAATCTACCCTAGAAATTTTTAAAATGATAGGGAAGTGTCATCAAACAGTGAAAAATTCACCGCTGACCCTACACAAGTATGCAAAAGGGCATATAAAGGCAAGCCGAGGGTTATTTCACGTTGTCTCATGTCATGACTTAAACGAGAGGGGACAAAGAACGCTGGACTTACCAGTCAAGAGCTTTTCAGTCGTATTGGGTATCCTACTGTGTCTAAAAGTACTCGGTGTTGGTATCTGAGGGAAATAGCAACAGCAGTCAAACCTATATTGAAGCCTTTGTTGACAAGAAATCACATTCAAAATCGATTGAAATGGGCCGAGGACAATATGAAGATTGACCTCTCTAAAGTTTTGTTCACAGATGAAACTCAAGCAACACTTGATGGGCCAGATAGATGGTGCAAAGGCTGGGTAATGAACGAACAGAATCACCATCAGCATTTGAGAAGCCAACAAGGCGGTGGAGGCATAATGATCTGGGGGTGGTATTATTGGAAAGACATTAGTGGGCTCATAGAGAGTACCAGATGGCATTAAAATGACTGCTGATGCATACATAGCATTTATGAAAGAGCATCTTGAACCGTGGATGAAAAGGCAAAGAGTTGCCTTCAGAAGGGCCATTGTTTTTATGCAAGATAATGCTCCCTCACAAGACTACTGAATATTTGAAACAGTTAGACTTCGATGGACCTCGAAAAATGAAGTGGCCAGCAAATTCTTCGGATTTGAACCCAATCAAAAACCTTTGGAGCATCATGAAGCGAAGACTGTACACCAACGGACAACAATTCAGGAGCAACGCTGAGTTGTGGGAAGCAATTCTTGACATATCTTGCGGCATTACAGCAGATGACATCCTACAATTAACAAATTCTATGGATTGTCGACTTTTTCAAGTAATTTCAAAACAGGGAAAGCACATTCCCTATTAATTTCTTTAAAACTGTGCCTTTGTTTGTATCTGTTATTATTTGTTTATCTTATTTATTAGCTTCTTTTGATCATAAACATTCACGTTCCACATTAATAAACGTTTTGTTTGCTCAATTCTGGGAATTTTACTAAACCTTTCTAATAATTTGGCACGCTCAAATCAACGTGCTGATAACAAATATGGCGCCAGTTTGTTTACATTGTGCAGATCAGTATGAAAATTTCAGTGATTACACAGATCAGTGTTGCCAGCATTGTGTGAAAAATTTGTGTGAATTGATTGGACGGTTTTTGAAATATTAGAAAAAAAGTTATCTCGATAATAATTTGGCACCCAGTGTATATATGATTTTGTGTTACTTACAGCAAAAAGAGGTAATGACATGAGGATGCTTTCATAGCGAGCATTTGGAGTATTCAGGCCAAATTTCGTGCCACGGTCGTAAATCAAATTGAATTCTACATAGCGACCTCTTCTCAGCAGTTGCCATTGTCTGGAAAAAGAAAAAAACATCTTTTTATTCTTGGTTTTCTGCATTACAAAGTAAGTACAACCGATACCAAGAATTTTATTACAATATGTTTTAATACAAAATGATTAATTTAGTTTTTTTATGGCTTATCAACCCTTTGTGAGTTATTTAAACTGAAATAAATTTTTGGATTTTAAGAATAATTAATTTTTTACTTGTGATTTAATATAGTATTAATAATTTTTTGGAGAATAACAATGATTTTTCCAGAGATAAGTCCTACTATTTAACTCATAAGTAGGGGAGGAGATACGTTTATACTTTTCCCCATGGGTACTTCTGCATAATGTAAGAAACCTGACTGGAATTGAAACTCGTCTCTCTGATTTCTCATTCCAAGCCACTATTCTTTATACCACCCACACATGCTTGTAAATGTTAAAGGGATGAAAAAAAAAAGACAGTAAATCTGTTATTTTATATATATATATATATATATATATATATAAAGCAAAAATAAAATCATCCTTGATAATGGCTAAAAGTATAGCAGAAAGTGCTCAGAATTACAGAACATTTGGATAGTTTTTACACACACTGTGTTCAGAGAAGAAAACCTTGTTTGAACACCAAAAAAAAATTAAATAAAAAGTTTAATTGCAGTACCTTGTCTGTCATCTTTAATGAAATATATATATATATATATATATATATATATATATATATATATATATATATATATATATATATATATATATATATACATACACACACACAATAAAAAAAAGAACAAGTAATAAAAATGATGGACTAAAAATAAATCAATTCTCTCTCTCTCTCTATATATATATATATATATATATATATATATATATATATATATATATATATATATATATATATATATATATATTCCAAAGACAAGGTACATAATTTATGCTTTTTATTCAATTTTTCTTGTCTTCATATAAGTGATTTCTTTTATGGATATAAAATATGTAAAAAAAAACTCTGTAAATGTTTTTTCTATTTTTAACTGATGTACAGACAGTGTTTGGAAAAAAAAATTCCCTTCACTTTAGAAACATATAAAAATCTATTCATTCAGTTAAGAATAAAAACATCCTTGATAATAGATAATAGAATATTTGAAATCACTCGGATATATAGAACATTCAGACAGTTTTTACACACTTTCTGTTCAGAAAAAAACACTTATATGAACAGATGAAAAATTGAATAAAAATCTTAATCAAAGTACCTTGTCTAACGTCTTTAATAAATTTGTATAAAAGAGGGATTATATATAATATATATATATATATATATATATATATATATATATATATATATATATATATATTATATTATATTATATATATATATATATATATATATATGTCTGTGTGTGTGTGCATGAAAAGATTTTAGTTAGTGCAACACCATCTAAATATTATTCTTAAAATAGGGAACATTAATCAAAAGCTGGATACAAAAGTATCACCTTGATTAAAAATATAAAATTTAAGGTATTTTTTGTTTTGTCTGATGCTTCATCAGAAGAAATATTATTGGAATTAAAATTAAACTAATGAAAGGAAAAATCTTCATGCAATAGATCTTAAAACAACAAGGCGGAGGAGAAAAAACAAAAAAAAAACAAAAGAAAATAAAAAGTTCAACCAGAATGATACAAGTACTCGCTGAAAATTGCCAATTTATGTTTCAGTTCTCTCTGCCTACAAAGAGCCACACAAAACACATTGATTACAACTGACTCCAAGATGTTAAGATAGTGTTTGGTCCAAGCTCTGTGTCCCCTTAAAACCATCATCTTTTCCTGAGACTGTCTTTGTGGAGCTGATGGAGATGGCTACTAAGTTTGTCTCTTTTAGCTTCAATAATAACATATATCAACAAATTGATGGGGTAGCAATGAGTCATCCTTTGAGACCTCTCATGGCCAATATTTTTGTAGGGTTCCATGAGAAGCAATTGTTTGATCAGGTCCCTAAACCATATTGCTATTTCCGTTTTTCTGAACTTTGTTCCACACAACAATGGTCTTCTTCATTAAATTTCTTGACAATATTATTAACCGTTTGATGATTAACCTGGAAAAACCTAGAAATTTCTCTATTTGACTTGCCACACTGATGCCATCATATTATTTGCCCATGTTGAAATTCACTAATTTCCTTACTTCCACAAACTTTCATTGCAAATGTCAACTATCACTCATAGATGAGAGTAGCTTGATACTAACACGGTATTGTCTGAAAAAAAAAAAAGAAGAGACATTATTACACAAGCTAAAATTGCTGTAATCAAGAGTGGCTAAAAATATATCATAGCCGACTGTAAATTGTAAAGACTTTAAATGTTGAAAAATTTTTCTGCCTCATTATTTGATAGAAAAAATATAAAAGTGTCATCAGCATAACAGAAATAGCAGTATGGTTTAGGGACCTGATCAAACAATTGCTTCTCATGGAACCCTACAAAAATATTGGCCATGAGAGGTCCCAAAGGATGACTCATTGCTACCCCATCAATTTGTTGATATATGTTATTATTGAAGCTAAAAGAGACAGACTTAGTAGCCATCTCCAGTATTTAATAAATGCTCACTGATGGTAGATTTGATGTTTTTGTCAGGAGTGCCGGATGTTGATGGAGAATGATAACCCGGAGAAACCAGTCACCTATCTCCAGCCATTGGATAAATTTTACCAACATAGTCAGCCTCACACTGACATTTAAAACAATAAATGACTAAACTTTGTCAATGGATGGGCAAATTTAACCAATGGCTGGAGATAGGTGCCTGGTTTTATACGTAGACATGCTTCAATAATATCCGGGTGCTCACAAGCACATGAGTCTGCCATCAGTGAGCATTTATTAAATACTGTCACTTGCAGGACCAATTATTCAGAAGAGTTCTTCTCCGTGCTGCACAGAGGTCAGACCAAACACCATCTTAACATCTTAGAGTCAGTTGTAATCAACATATTTCATTCAGTTCTGTGTAGACAGAGAGAACTGAAACATAAATTGACACTTTTTGATGAGTCCTTGTTTCATTCTTAGAAAAACTTTGCTAAGAGCTACAAAAGACAGGAAATTGTGGAGAGCCATGATCACTCCCATGTTCTAAAAGGATACAGTATATATTAGTGAGTTTGATCCTAAGTGCCCTATTTCTGTGGCCCTGTGCTAGATAAGCTGAGCTTTGTAAATGATAATAAATTAACTGCAGATTAAAATTTAAAATTAGCTTAGAGCAGAAAATGGTTTAACTATAATTTACATTCTATAAACAAGATAACAGAATCACAACAAATGTTTCATTGTTGTTGCGACATTTTTCTCAGCAGTTCAGATTTTATGTTCTCAATACGTCATTGAGGGCGAAAAGGTAATAAGAGACAAAATTTTCCATTTCTGTGTTTTACAGAAATTTAATCAAGGCCAAATGAATAGGCTTTCAGTTTTAGTGTATACAGGTATATCTATATATATATATATATATTTAATAGACCAGTTAATCAAATTTGAAAACTAAAAAGTCAACAAAATGATACCAGTATTGGCAATAAAATTGATATTTTTGACTGAATTGAAGCACGAAGAAAAAGATTTTAATGTCTGAATTTTTTAACATACCTGTATTCTTTTTCAGTGATACGAGGAATAAACAAAGAAATGGGGCTTATTCTTTCAAGGAATGTTGTTGCTGGTTAAATGAGTAAACATAAATCTCTGTTTAATCCCTCAATGTGTGATTTTATTTTGAAAATAAATTTCAACTCTTATCTTTGTTTTTCTGCTAAATTTTAGTGTCACGGAAAGCAGTTAATGCTTCTCGCTCAATAGTTATTTTTGCATTCTTATTTTTTAGTTCCTGTTTGTGAGTGGAATCAAGACTCTGGAACAACCTGGAATAAATCTACAGTAATAGTTAATCAAACTGAGGTATCTTTGTAATTGTCTCAGTGATATTGGGTGTGGAAATTATCATATTGCTGCTATTTTCTCTGGGACATGCATGATCCCATGTTCGTCAATCACATGGCCCAAGAAGTTCCATTTAGAAACAGCACATTTTTTTACGTTGATCTTTAAATCAAAATGTGCTAGTCTCTCAAAAACTTACTGTATATAGTCCTGGTGTTCTTTGCTATCACAACTAGCAATAAGAACGTCATTGATATATTCAAAGATGAAAGGTAATCCTCTCAAAACTTTGTCAATAAATCTCTGAAAACTTTGGGCAGTGTTACATAACCCAAATGGCATCCTCATGAACTCATGAAGTTCAAAAGTACTGGTAATTGTGGTTTTCTTTATGTCATCCTCTGCTACTGGAATTTGATAGTATGCTTTAACCAGGTCCAGTTTTGTGAAAACTATGGTTCCCTATAAACCCACAATGAAATCATGTAAATGTGAGATTGGATATCTTTCTGGAACTGTTTTCACATTGAGATTTCTGAAATCCACACAAGGTTGCCATGCACCTGTGTCTGGTTTTAGAACCATGTGTAGTGGAGAGGTGTATGGGCTACTTTACCATTAATATAGATTCTGTAGGTTGGTGGTGATGTTTGTACACATTTTTTAAGTGTCTTGGTGTTGTGGTTATTATTTTTTAAAACTTGTGTTGGTTTGAGTTCAAATATTTCTCGGAAGAAATGTTCTAGGAATGTCAGCAAGTCACAATTTTGTTGTTTTTAGATGACTGGATTTGTATGTTCACATTGGAAAATATTTTATGATGATGGGTCAGCAAATATTTTTAGATTGTTCTTCATTGGTGGTTACCATTTTGTTGGTGTCAGCAATAATTTTTAGATTGTTTTTTGTCAGTTTTTTAGTCATCATTTTTGTGGGATCAGTCTACCCAGATTTTAGGAGGAAAAATAAAATCCAATTGTCATGTCCACAAATACAACACAATTTTATAAACAATACAAAGAAATGATTTTTGCAGAAAAGGAAGAAGACCAAGCTAAATATGACAGCAACATGTATACAGTCAGATACATGATACATATTTATACAGTCAGATACATGTATTTACATATTAAAAATCAATGTTCTTTGTTGTATCCATGAAGAGACCAATAGTTCAAGTGTTCGAAATGATTTGTCACAAGTGAGTCTGCAAAGTTTCAAAATGATTTTGTGGCCATGCAGAGACCAATAATTCATGTGTTTGAAATAATTTTGAGTGAGAAAATCAAGTGGTATGCTACGCCAATATGTGTGTAAAGCACACAATGAGGAAATGTGTGTGACTGCTAACTGATTGTGTGCAATAGCCATTAATTTTAAAACACAATGAACAAAGAAAGGAGAGACAAAATTTACTTTCATCATGATATAGGAAAATCATTGTTGACTGATGCGTTGTTAGGGTAATGTGTGTCTAAACTGTTGATCGAGGCATGGTATGGTTTGCTGACTGTCTTTCACTGACCGTGTCATTGCAAATCTAGTCCCTGACAAGCTGTTTTTATAACTATGGGTTGGCTTCAAATCACTATCTGAGTTTTGCATGGGAATGTACTCAGTAACCTGAGCCCTGACTTATTTCCAGGTCATTTGAAGTTCAACTGTGCAGACGTAGAGAGCAGATCATTTGACTTTTCATATCCAATGTGTTCCAGAAATCACTTATTTAATTTGGCAATGCATTTGTACAGAATTGTAAAACAGTTTTTGTATCTACAGAATTTAGTAAGATTTATTTGTAGGTGTCTTTTATTTGTTTGTGCTTCACTTATTGTCCATAAAATATATTGGTTTATATCCTATAAAGGCAAAAGGGACAGAGGGAAACAAGTATTTGACCTAATAAGCTTGTGTAAATGGATAGCAGAACAGGGAAG